GCAAAAGTCAATTGTGACCCTGTTCGCAATTCGCACGTGCGAACGCGCAAGAGGCCGCTTCCGGATCTCGAGAACGGCTGGGCCGATTGCGCTTAAATTTGGTACACCTTTAGGAATCGCTTAGGAGGGTGCCGAGTGAAAATGGTGAAAATAATTCTGAAAAATTAGCCGGCTGTGAGAAACAGCACAGATGAAAGGGGGGCCAAAAGATATGTTGGCCCCCTTTCAGAGCCAAAGGGGGGCCATATGGCCCCCTGGATCCGCCCTTGAATCCAAAGTGCTGCAACTTTGAAATTAAATATCTCTGAGTTAAAACTTTTCTCGATGTTGTGAGTGCCCAGACCGGTAAGTGCAGGCCAGGGACCCCATTTTGGCAATCTCAACTCAAAACTAATGTTAACCCTCGCCCGTATTAAGTTTTGCCAGCCGCGAACGTATAAGAGGGGTCCGTTGGACCACCCCCTTTGCCGTTTCGCCCCTGATCGAGCTAGAGCTTCGCGGAAAAAACGAGCGTGTTGCCCGTGACGAGAGGAAGCCGCTGATACCCAATTTTAAGGTCCTAGGTCATTGGTTGACCTTGCAGGTCATGTCAATGACCCAAAAGTCGGGAAAATCGGGACCTGTTAGAACGTCGTAAAGTGTGGCTGCTATGAGGGTTTTCAGGGTGCTGATCACGAATGTCTTGTTAGTTTTGATCACAGATGATGTCTTTAAGCATTTAGACCAGGTCGGGTCAGGTCAGGTCAACCGGTAGGGGTCGTGACGGGTATTAGTAGTACCTGTCATCCGCCTCTGACAGCTTCGTAACATATTACGAAGGCACCAGAACTACTTCGTATATGTTCACATGGCTGCTAAATTCGAATTCAGCTCCAAAAACTAGCCTAGAGATATGTAAAACTCGAACAAGTGAACCGAGGTCACCAAAGGTCAATGACCTGACCTGACCTTCAGGTGACCTTAACACCCACCCTAATGCATGGGAGCAACATCAAATCACATGTTTGAACGTTTGAAACCACGAAAAGCTTGCAAACGCGCGGCTAATGCGAGCCGACATACGCCGAATCGCGGTTCTGGCCAAACATGGTCTCGGAAAAGAAGTCACAGGTCAAAGGTCATTTGGGTCAGGGTCATGAAATTTTCAGGGTAGGTGTAAAATTGATCAATGCGGGGGTACTGAAAGTTTCGTCGCGATCCGCCGCTTTTTACGCGAGTTAACCGCGAAAAACCTTAGGGGGGTTGCATCAACCTCCCCCCTGTGCCGGCGAGGGTTAAAATGCATGTTTTATCGATTTATTCTCCATATGATGATTTGTAATATAATAATATAGTTTCCATAATACCTAATGGTAAAATAATATCCATAATAACTTTGAAGCATACTAAATCTGTGGTACTTTTATAATGTTAAGAATAGCTCACTGTTTGAATCTATTTCGTTTGCTGTATCATTTGACGGAGGATCCATATTCTATGTCGTCCCGGAATATGCTGCTAAAAATCAAATCTTCGGAACTGCTACGACATCTTAAGTTGGGTCGTAGGATAAATCCTAGGACTTTTGACATGAATACCAAATTATCTTAAGATTGTCAACGTGAATTAGAAGTATCCTAAATATCCAGACTGATCGTACGATAAAAAGTTAAGATGGTCAACATGAATACCAAATCGATCGTACGATGAAAACTGATCGTAAGATGTCGACGTGAATACGGGCCCAGATACCAAATACATTAGAGCATCTGTGAGATATGCAGCACAAGAGAGCTATTCTTTGAACCGGAGGCTTCATATTCCTGGCATTTACTTTTTTATAAAATCGTCGACGAGAAAACCCCAATAAATATAAAAGTCACGCTCCCACCATTCGGAGCCATTTGATTCTCCGCTGGATAAAATGGACCATCCTTTAAAGACGACATAGTTTGAGTGACTGGTTCATGGGCTGGCTGACTTTTCAAAAGTTTTATATATTTGAAATACATTGTTGTAGTTCAAAATCATCTCATAACGTATATGATTTTATAACATACGGATAGACATCCTCAGCTGCCTAGTGTGATGAGATTGAGACAATTTACTTATGTGGCTCCTTTGAAATACCCACCGATAATGGTTAGTGGGACAGTTAATTAAACCACCCTGAGATTGACGGAACTGATATATTGATCACGGCGCTTTGAACTCTGTCCGATCATGCTAGTTCTTCGCCTCGGTCTATCCTGTGTGGCAGGAGACAATTTGATTATCATTTAGGTAGGTACTACATTTTACTAATTTTCTAGCGATTTTTTCGCCCTTTCCGTTTCGACTTTTCTTTTGCTCCGCGCCATTTGATCCAATCGCTTTTAATTAATTTGTCTTTTTCATTCTTTGAATTGTCAATTTTCGTTTTTTTTTTCACCTAGCCATGGTTCCGCTTACTTTTCATATTTAATCGTGTGTAAAGCAGACCAAACTCTGGTGCCCTGAATGTATAGTATGTACATACATACCTACAATACGGGCGGCCATGTGTGAACGATGGGGCAGATGCTGGTCGCGATTGGGTTCGGGGGAGATGGGGAGGGAGCAGAATGCAGACCGTCTGTCCGTGCCGCCGTGCCGCTTATCAGCGTCCATGTCTGATCAGCAGCCGGCGTGTCAACAGAGGGGGCCGATACGGCCGACACACCCATTAGCCGCCGCTGTCGGGGCCGCGTGCCGACCGAACGACCTCGCCGCACTATCCGGCGACCGCGTGAGAGCACATCTGATTCGGTCACCGCAATCAGCGACAACCAAAGTCCGGACACGACTGGAGGGGGAAAATCGATACAGCCTATGACAAGAGTTGATTGGTGCGCTTTTCCCGCTGCAGCATATGCACAGTTTGGTGGTGTTTTATGGATCGATATCGTGATTGCGGTGCGTGCAGCAGCCGGCACCCTTCGTGACCGAGCTGTCACAGGGTAAACAGGGTCCCGGGACGGAGCGAGGCGTGTGTAAGCACGGGTGCAGGGAGGCCCCCTACAGAACATCCAACCCCATCCAAATCATATTTGAGCACGGTCAAGGGAAGTTTACCTTCAGAGGGGTTCCCATAGGTCCCGACGCGCCCCTTTACAGAGCAAGTCCTAATCCGGAACAGGTCTCCTGAGAGGGAATTTCATATATCCCACGGAAAACAACTTACGGAGATGAGTCAACGTGCCTCCGTAAGAAGGCTCGCTTCAAATATTTCACCTATATTTTTCGGAAGGCCAAGAAATACAATAAAAAGCCAAGTTATTATGGGCCTAGCCACAGCTTTCCTAGTAGTGCTCAAGTTCATTCGCTTCGGCACCTGCCTCCTTGTTGTGGTGCATAATGCAGTTGACCGACCGCTGCTCCGGTCCCGGTGTACCATGCCGGCGCAGGCGTCGCCGGCCCTCGGCCGCCTGATTGGTCGCCTCAGGCGCTGCGCCTGTGTGCCCGTGACCGGCCGCGAATACACAATCAGGAACGGAGCCTCTGCATTATAACAGTAATCACATATAGATATAGGTACAGGTGGATATTTGAGTGCCTTTGCTCATAGGCGGCGGAACGGGGGGGGGGGAACCGTGCCTCCTTGATTTTGCCATTTTAACATTAGCCCTATGGGCGTTGCATGGAAAGAATGGGACCAAAAGTCGGCAGTGCCCCCCCCCCCTTAACCCTCGCCCCGTTGGGGGGCCATTTTGGCCCCCCCTGTGGTTTTTCCTGAATAGCAAGAAAACGGCGGCGCGCAGCGCCGCCAAATTTTCAGTACCTTCCCGGGCATCAATTTGACACCTTCACACTAAATTTCAAGTCTTAGGTCACCTTAGGTCAGGAGTTATTGAGGTCAAACTGAGGTCATGTTCGAGCAAAAATGAGCAAAAACATTGCAATCTTGAAACGCTCACCAAATCTACAGATATCAAGCAATTTCAAAGTTCTTTATATGGTCTAGTAGACAAAAAGCGGCGCTACAAAACTGCTATCTCGGATTTTCAAAATTTTTGGTTTTTGACAAAAAAATCAAAAAATTGATTTTTTTTAGAAATTTTTTGAAAAAATCCAAAATTTTCCGAATTTCGAAAAAAACGGAATATATGTGATAGTCCCAGCGCTCTTCTATATACATACCAAATTTCAGATCGATATCTCGTTTTTTGGCCAAGTTATAGCGAAAAAACTGTTCAAAAATGATGACGTCAAATTTTTGAACTCAATTTTTAGCAATTCTAGCCCACGTACGGCAAAACAAAGACCACCATTGAACTCCCCGTGACGAGCTGCATCGATTCGATATCCATTTTATGCAAAAATATTAACTTTGAAATTTGACCTAATTTGACCTGACCTTGACCTGACCTTGACCTGACCTTGACCAAAACGTGATCTAAGCTGGCCCCAAAGGCTGCCTGACCCATATAATCGCATTTGTCATGTAAAATGGACCATAAAACATGTATCACACGACACTTTCATATTGTGACCCCCCGTGACCTGACCTCTGTGACCTGACCTGGTATCAGTGACCTCAAATAGTAAAATATGTGTTTGAAGAACATTTCCCTATTGATGATTTTCAATTAAATGCATTTTACTCGATTTTACAACGCATTTCTTGAAGTGCCTGTAAACGGTGAAAATTGGACCTTTGACCTGACCTGTGACGTCATCGGTTTGACCTAGGTCAATAAAATTGGGTCACAAGGTAGTTCCCCGTTGGGACTATCCAACGCCGTTTACCGCTTGTCGCTATGTTGCGTGGTTCTCGAGATCTTAGGGGGGGGGGGCAAAATGCCCCCCCCCCCCAACCGGGCGCGTTGCTCGGCAGAGCCCAACGGGGCGCGGGTTAAATGAAGGTGTTCCGCCGCTTCTGCCTTTGCTACAAGGTACACACGAGTATTTTGACTTCTGAGTTCTATTTCTAATGAAACTTTGATTGTGCTATCGCGATTTCTATTTCTGACACACTGCCTATGTGCCGCCCTTGCCGACAGATGCGCCGTTCGAGGGGCCCCGTTTTACCGTGGAGCCGCCGGGGGTTGTGCAGTTTACCAACACATCCGGCGTTCGGCTGGACTGTGTGGCTCGCGGACCGCCTCCTCTCCAGGTGTACTGGACTCTGGACTCGGGAGATCCCGTCTCCTACGTGGCTGGAGTCAGGTGAGCAAGAAGTTAATATTTATTTGTCGAACTCGCGAAATAGCTAACCTTTCTGAAATCACGAAATGCTGCTGCGGATTGGCAGTGGAAATGTGTAGGCCCATCAATAGGCACAGTCCGGGCTGCCGAGCGGTGTCGTGGGATCCGGCGGAAATCTGGCCAGTAGTACTTAATTTGTTGGGTCCGTGGTGTACTTGGAAAGTTTGCAGAAGTGGGACACCCAAGTTACCCCCATTATGAGGTGAGCAGCGGAGTGCGCGTCGGTAGCGCCGCCTGTGTCGATAACGTCGCGTCGGCGGCTGGCAATCAGAACCGACCTGCACTGAACGGCAGATATTGCGGCGGGGCTTGCTCTGACAGAATGCCATCGTCTCCAATCCTTAGAATCGGGTACTGGCCGGGGTGCTGGACTAATCGCGGTATGACAGACGTCTTGCCTTCAGAATCTATCTTGTGATGCCCCAGGCAGAGATATCTTTGGACAGATGGCATGTGCTAATGCATTCTGCCGTCTCTTTGTCCCCATTTGCAATCTAAACTGTCGTCACATCCGGTAGCTTTGCCTATTGAACGGGCTTTGTCAACGCAACTGAAATGAGTGACTAAAATGCGTCTTATCTGTAAAACATTCGAATCTATTTTGACTACATCTCTTTCGCCCTTCTCGGATCTTAAGTATTAACTCGCATGTTGGCAGCAACTCGGTTTGTGTGTTTTTTCATACCCAAACAGTCGCTATTAGAAAAGTAACATATTTCGCTTTTTGTTTTATTAATTTCATATATTTTGGCAGCCCCTCGTCCCCGCTTGGTCGCTGCCGATTGCGGAGGGAAGACCAACCGCCTGGCCCACCCGGCGCCGCTCGGTGAACTCTGCTTCCGATGGAACTCAGCGCAGGCGATAGAGAGCCGCCGGTGGCCAGCTCTAATCAACAATGGCTCGCAGCATTTGACACCCACACCAAAGCACCTGCCGCCGCCGGGGCATTGTTTGTTTGTGGCCGCGGCCCGGCCGGCCGACCAGGTCAAGTAATAGACCGGCGACGTGGGTGAACTACCGACGACGGTATCAGAAAGAAAGAAATAGAAAGAAAGAAAAAAGGAAAGAAAGAATAAAAGAAAGGGAGAGGAATGAAGAGAGAAAGAGGAGAAACAGAAGAGGGAAGGAGGACGAAAGGAGAGAAGGAGGAAGAGGAAGAGGAAGAGGAAGAGGAGGAAGATGAGTGATGAGAGGGAGAGGTAGATGAGAGGAAAAGAGGGAGGAGAGGGAGAGGAAGGGGGAGGGAGGAGAGAGAGAGAGAGAGAGAGAGAGAGAGAGAGGGAGAGGGAAAGAAAGAGTGACGGAGAGAGAGCGAGGGAGAAAGAGAGATGGAGGAAGATTCTTCGCTTTTTTGTTGACAGAATAGGTAATAGGTAGTTTAACACATAATGAGACTCACAAATACAACCATAGAAAACAGCATGAAAACATCATACCTACCACTGTTTTATCTATTTCCCATAACAACGTGGGCGTTCATGCATTCATTCTTTCATATATCCTTATTTCACATCAAACGTTGGCTAGCTTCCAACAACTGTTTACAAACGTGCATTAGCGCATAAAGCTCTTAAAGCTGCATAACATGATAATGTTAGTATGCTAGTTGTTTTGGGATTCTACAATGAGCATATGTCTGTGATAACAATGGTTCATCTAATCATGGCATCGGGAGATCCTGGTGTATGTGCGGATCTGTCGGCTTTGGCTGACTGCTGCCGTTAATGTGATGAAAAGGTCAAAGGCCACACCGGCGTGCTATCCACGAACCCAGTTGACACCACGACGTTCTGGGAGCAGCACCACGCTACAAATGGTTATCATCATCGATTGTGTCGAACAAGCCATCAGCTCACGAATGACTACTCTCGGAGAAACTGTTTGTAAGAAACATTTCAACTGCCAATGAGCTGCGACTGTCCTGAGAAACTGCCGAGTTTGTGTTCCGGCTCGTATGCCTGTATCTGACAGTGATCTCGATTCAATAACGCTGAGTCTTTGGTTCCACTGCGGGCGATGCGCCATTGCCGACATTGTACCCGGGATGCCACAAAAGCCAGCCCGCCCGGATCACGTGCATGAGGCTGTCGAATGGCCCCTCAGAGAGACATCTTCTCGAGAGAGGACATAATGAGACCATATCGACGCACCAGCTTCTGAATAGGAACGAGCTCAAAGGTCCCGCGCGCGGAACAAATGTGGGACAGCCGGGTCCATTGTAGTGATGGAATGGCGCGCGCGTTCTAGCATTTTAAACCCTTCAGGTAATTTATTTTGCACGAAGGATAACAACCAGTGTGTTGACCGTTTGGTGATTAAATCTATCTATATTATGATTTATAACATGTCCGTGCGTGCCCGTGTCTGTCAGGACTTATGTGTCTTATTGCGCCTGAAAGGCGCCGCGTATCGGCGTGAAATTTGGCATGCCGAATCTGTGGGCGTGGGGGGCCTTTGTATTAAAATTTGGGCGTGATCGGACCAGGGGTGCGCCGTCAGCACGCGCTCGCGTGCGCCATAGGGTTAACACGGCAAACGGTCAAATCGAAGATCGGGCGAAAACCGGCCTGCGGCGCCTGCTTCCCGGCTGTATAAGTCGGCAACGGGTGGGCGCAGCGAGAAGCGGTTTTCACCACTGGATAGAGGAGAGATGGAACTAGCGTATCGATATGGTTTCATAGCATAGCACGCGCCACGTGCAAGACAGCACCCCCGGTTGCGAAAAAAATGACCGATTTCGTGCATTGTGACGGGAAAATCGATGCCGCTGGAAAACTTTTTGACGGAATGAAATCGGTGTTGTACCATTTTGCAGACAAATGTATGTGTAATCAGAGAATAGCAAACAAAAGCTGATGATACGTACCATTTCCTTAATAATGAAAAATTAATTTGAAAATTTATTTCGCGCGGAGCGCGGTGTCCTTTACAACATCAAAACGTATTGAAAACGCTGATCAATGGCCATGAAACCTACATATTCGGAAAGAGCATTCTTTTTTGACCAATATCCACCCAAAATATTATCGAAAAGTCAATAAACTTTTGTGAAAATGACTCAAACATACGACCGTGTTTTGTTAACGTTACAGGTATTTTTCGACAAACTCCGATCGATGGCTTATGGCCGGCAGGTCATACAACTTTTGACAATAGCTATCAAAGCATGGGCTGCAATGCACCGCCCTCCAAGGGGAATTCCAAACACTAAAAATAAGCGCCTACCAGTAGGGGAAAGTGGGGTAAGACGGTCAGGGTAGGTAAGACGGGCACCCCTTCTGCAGACCAAACCAATAGCGCTACGAGCGAGAAAAATTAGGACCAGAATTGCCTTTCCCACTACACACCACCATTGAAGTCTGGTGAATTTGTGTTCAGTCGATAATCTTTTATTTTGATTTCTATAAAACACTCATTTCATTGAAAACATTTATAATGTATTGGGCAAGCTTTTATATGAAGCACTATAGAGTTAAAAACTCGCTATCACTTGTGGTACACTCATATGCCACCAGTGTCCATTTACTGCGGATTTGCTTTGTCTGCATCAAATTGTCCACGGAGAAAAATCGTGCTGAACTTCTGACATTGAGTTTGGGGTAAGACGGGCAACTAGTATGAATCCAATGGGTCTGTAATGGTGAAAATATTTTTGTTGCTGTAGGAAGAATAGAAGCATTTCTAATAAGAATATGTTCGATTCCGATACTCACAGACATGTTAGCAATATTCCTTCGGCACAGTTTATTCTCGAATAATGAATGTGAAAACGGTTCTACATGGCTTCTGAACTACGGCCTAGTTATATACGAGCATACGCCATCTGCACGAATCTCGTATACTGCCATTTCCGAAGCACTTGAGACCAACGAGCGACTGTATCAATGCGGCTAATCTCGGACATTTGTTGCGAGCTGTGCTGGTCGGTGAAAGAAGCTGGCCGTCTTGCCCTACCCATGTGACCGTCTTACCCCATGGGGTGGGGTAAGACGGGTTTTTGCAAGGTTTTGCAAAAATAGCTGCAGATTATTTGTTGAATCAGGCCTAAGTCTCACCTTCTGGCAAATGGAAGTAAAATGTCTACAAAAGGTTTTCACCAAGTTTCCCGTTTCTATGATGTTTCTAACCGGCCGAAAAATGGCTCCAAAGTTAAGGTGCCCGTCTTACCCCACTTTCCCCTAAACAGCACATTTTTGTACTAGGAATAACTCAGCTGCTACTGGGCCGATTGCGCTGAAACTTGGACTGTGGGTGGAGGGGGCACTCACCTGGCGATACATGGTCATGTGTGACGGGTAGGGTGGATCGATTGCACGTGCGCACGTGAGGGGTCCGCTTCTACATCTCAAGAACGGCTGGGCCGATTTCGCTCAAATTCTGTACACCGTTAGGGACAATTTAGAAAGGTGGCTGGCACAGGTCATCTGGAGTCTCAGCTGGCGCGTGCGCACGTGCAGTGGGCCAGTTTTATATCTCAAGAACGGCTGGGCCGATTGCGCTCAAATTTGGTACATTACTTTAATCGAGTATGAGAAGGGTAACTACGTGTAGGTTATGAGTAAGGTAGGTTATGGGTAGGTTAGGGCGGGGTAGGGTGGGTTTGAGTTCGATAAAGGCAAACCATGAGAAAGGCTCTAACAACCCGCAACCAGCACCAGCATAACATGCCGTTCAAACAAATATCCAACTCCGACAAAATAAGACAAATAAAAATCACAAGTTCCCACACCCAAACTAATGCCCCATCAAACGCATCTATCAAAACGCACAGTTATAGCGCAAAACATGCCATCTAGTCTATATTATGATTTATAAGTTGTCTGTACGATCTCCATCCATCCGTGTGTCATGCCTTATGTGTCTTATTGCGCCTGAAAGGCGCCGCGTATCGGCGTGAAATTTGGCATGCCGAATCTGTGGGCGTGGGCGGCCTTTGTATTAAAATTTGGGCGTGATCGGAC